TCTTCCGATTTCATCCCTTCACCTGCTATGTGACATCTCTTCCCCCTTAGCTATCCCGAGGGTTTTGCTTTCTCCAGAATGTCACGTTTATCGTACGATGCCTACACGTTTGCGCAAGAGAAACAGAGACCTATACTCAAATGTTCATAACAGCTTCGTTCGTAGTAACCAAAGAAATGGAAACAACACCAATTCCATCAATTGGTGAATTGATTTTAAAAAATTGTGGTACAACCTTATGGTTTATACACTTTCTGCAGTCTGAGACTGACTTCATGCTTTTGAGATTCATCCATGCTGGGAGCTGTATCTGTTCGTTCCTTTTTACTGTCGAATAGTAGCATTGCATGGGTATACTCCAGGTTAGCTCTTCACCTGGGGAAGGGTGTTTGGGTTGTTTCTAGTTTGGGACTTTTGTGAATAAAGCTGCTGTTAACATTTGTGCACAGGCTTTTGTGGGGTCCTGTGTTTTCTTTTCTCTTGTATAAACACCTAGGAGTGGATGCTGGGCTGTATGATAAACGTGACTGACGTTACCAGATCCCATCAGACTGTTTTCCAAAGTGACTGTACTGTTTTGCATTCCTACCGTCAGTGTCTGAGAATTCAGTCGCTCTGCGTCCTTGCTCAGCACTTGGTACTGTCAGTTTTCGTGGTATCTGTGTCATAGTGCTACCTCATTGTGCAGATAACTTGTATTTCCCTAATGACTAATGACTAATGATGTTGATCATCTTTTCATTTATTTATTTGCTCTCCGTTTGTCTCCTTTAATGGAGTGTCTGTTCAAATTATTTTTTTTATCCTAGTTTTTTTCTCATTGAGTTGTGAGAGTTATATATTCTGCATACTAATCTCTTACCACATGTATTTCGCAAATATGTTCTTTCTGTCTGTGACTTCTCATTTTCTTAACAGCGTCTTTCAAAGAGATCTTAAGTTGTCCAGTCCATTTATTTATACATCTCCATTCGTTGGTCTTTGATTTTTTTCACTACCATTTCATAGTTTTTAGCATAGAAATCTCGTACATATTTTATTAGATTTATCCCTAAGTACGTCTGTCTGTCTCTGTCTTTTGTGTGTATGTGTGCTGCCATAGATGGTATGTTTTTTAACTTCAGTATCCAGTTGTTCATTGTGGTATGTAGAATTACAGTTGATTTTGTAATCCACACGTCCTTATATCTTACAACCTTGTTAAACTCACTCACTAATTCTCGGAGCTTTTCTGCAGATTCTTTGGGATTTTCTCTGCCGACAGTTATGTCATCTGTGAGTAGGGACAGGTGTGTCTGACTGTCCAGTCTGCATGCCTCATCTGGCCTGGTAGCGATCGCTTGGGCCCCAGCACCACGTTGGGTTGGTGTGGGCAGGCATCCTTGACTTGCTCCTGACTTTATGGAGAAAGTGTTCAGTTTTGCTTTCAGTACGTGTGATGGTAACTGGTTTTTCATAGGCACCCTTCATGAGGTTGAGGAAGCGCCATTCTACTACCGGTTTGCTGAGTTTTATCTTGAATGGATAGTAAATAGTGTTGAATGCAGCTAAGTTTTAATGGCAGGCTCCCAGAACCTCAGAAGCATCACGCTGTGTTGGAGGAACTTAGAGGGCGTCCCTGTTGTGCTTGCAGCTGTCCCTGTCCCCACCGGCTGCCCACCTGTCCACCAGCCCACTGCCCACTCTTCCTTGGTGGAGAAAAGGCGGCAGGTGTAGAGAACAGGACTCTGGCTTTTCCTTCTGGGCCCATGTAGGGTTTGGGCACAGGGTGGGTCATGAGGCTTCAGAGAGGCATCGGGCTATACTGTGGGTGGACAGGGGCCAGGCCACATATCTGTCACCGTGGGGCCACCCCCTTGGCCTCTGACCCTGCTACCCCAGTGGGTTCTCTTGAAAGCACAAAACAGGCATCCTGTCTACCTCGGCCCCTGCTGTGTGCCACTGCCCACGGCGGCACCTGGTGGGCACCCAGTAAATACGTGTTGCCTAGAGAGTAAGTACCACCTGCCAACCGCTTTCTGTCTGTGGGTCTGTCAGCCCTCTGGCGTCCCCGTCCTGTGGTGCCCAGACTGTGCTCCCTGACATCTGGTCACTTCACCTTTTATATCAACATGTGTTATGTTTTAAACGTGTTGAGAAGATGTCACTTTTGAAGAATGTGCTCAGGGAGCCACCCACACCACCCTCCTGACCTCGCCGCGACCTTCCTCTCCTCGGGCCTGCAGGTCCTTCTCTCGGCGACACTCATGCTGTTCCTTCGCCCCGGAAAGCCTGCCCGGGCGCCCTTCCTCCTTCCCTCATCCTCTC